GAAATTGCTTCGAGACAAGGGGACAGCAGCCTGCAGCAGCAGCAGCAAATGCAGCAGCAGCAGCGGAAAATGCAGCGAGAGCAGCAAAACGCTGCAGCGCAGTAGCAGCAGCAGCAAATGCAGCAGCAGCAGGTGCAGCAGCAAATCAGCAGGTGGCGAGCTGTTCCACTGCGAATAACCAGGCAGCAGCACAAGGTACGGGGGCTTTCTTCACAGCCACAGAAGCAGACGCAGCAGCAGCAGCAGCAGCAGCAGCAGTAGCAGCATCAGTAGCAGCAGTAGCAGCAGCAGCAGTAGCAGCAGCAGTAGCAGCAGCAGCAGCAGCAGCAGCAGTAGCAGCAGCAGTAGCAGCAGCAGCAGCAGCAGCAGCAGTAGCAGCAGCAGTAGCAGCAGCAGCAGCAGCAATAGCACGCACGTGAGTCTCAGATGCAAAGCCTCCAGCAGCCTATCTACAATTGCTGCTTCGTCAGCAGCAACAACAGCCACGCCGCTGAGGCAGCCAGCCCGCCTCATGATTTGCTGCAGCCGGCGCTGCAGGTAGAGGCGCAGCATGCCCTGCTGCTGCTGCTCCTCCTGCTGCTGCAGCAGTTGCTGCTGCTGCTGCATCTGCTGCTGCTGCGCAAGAGTCGCGGCAGAAGCGGTAACGGGCCGCATTATGTGCTGCTGCTGCAGCTCTTGCTGCAGCAGCTGACGCAGTTGCTGCTGCTGCTGCAGCACCTGCGCAGCAGACGCGCTGGGCACCCAAGACCACCCCCTTCGCTGCTGCTGCTGCTGCTGCTGCTGCTGCTCATCCCCAGCCAGCGGCAGATGCTTCCTTATAACACTTATAAACCTTGGGCGCTGCCGCAGCAGCTGCGGCCTAAATGTGCGCCGCTCCCCCTCTGTGCTGTAGTCTGCAGCAATCAGATAGTTGCTGCTGCTGCTGCTGCCGCTGCTGCTGCTGCTGCCGCTTCTGTTGCTGCTGCTGCTGCGGCTACTGCTGTCTTCCACGCGGGGCCGTTTCACTGAAGGCATTTGGGAGTCAGCAGCCTGCGGCCGTATGTGCTGCAGCCGCTGTTGCTGCTGCTGCTGCTGGTACTGCTGCTGCTGTTGCTGCTGCTGCGCCTGCTGCTGCGCTTGCTGCTGCGCCTGCCGCTGTCTCAGCTGCTGCTGCTGCTGCTGCTGCTGCGCGCTGCCCGTGCAGCTAGCCATAGCCTCAGCACAAACGTCAGCAGCAACATGGCCAGCTAGCTGCAGCTGCTGCGCCACCTGAGGGCCCCGGGGCTTCTGCAGCAGACGAGCGATCAAGTCAACCTGCCTGCAGCAGCAGCAGCAGCAGCAGCAGCAACAGCAACAGTAAGAGCAGCAGCTCGACGCAGTCAAGAAGAGCCACCGACAGTGTGCTACAGAGCTTGTCTCACTAGCGGGAAACACAGCAAGCACTGGTGCTGCTGCTGCTGCTGCTGTTGCTGCTGGCGCTGCTGCTGCTGCTGCTGCTGCTGCCCCTGTCTCACCTGTCTCGCGGGTAAGCTGCAACTTTCGCCAGGGTCTCATGGTCAGGCAGCAGCTGCAGCGCAAAAGCAACTAATCAAGCAACACCTGTTGCTGCTGCTGCTGCTGCTGCTGCTGCTAGCGGGCATGTGGGAGCTGCGTTGCTGCTGGCGCTCTTTCGTTTGCTGCTACGATGTTGTTGCTGCTGCTGCTGTTGCTGCTGTTTCTGTTGCTGGGCTGCTCACAGGTGCGTGCATTGCTGCTGCATTCGCCGTTGCTTCAGTAGCAGCAGCAGCAGCAGCAGCAGCAGCAGGAGGCATTCTTCCTCGATTCGTTGCTGCTGCTACTCCTGCTGCTGCGTCGCTCTGCTGCGGCATGCGCTGCTGCTGCTGCGCCATCGCCAGCGGGCGGTCTTGCTGCTGCTGCTGCTGCTGCTGAAGCTGCAGGTGCAGCTGGGACTTCGCGAGCGGCTGCTGCTGCGGCTGCGGCTGCGGCTGCTGCACCTTCACCGCCAGCTGCTGCGCCTGCTGCTGCTGCTGCTGCTGCTGCTGCTGCTGCTGCTTGGCCAGCTCGTAAGCCCCCTTCAAAACATCCTGAACCCGCACTATTCCCCGCTGCTCCAGCGACTGCAGCAAAGTCGCCACAGACCTCCCGCCCGTCTGCGGCAGCTCCACGCCCTGCGCGCAAACCCTAAACCCTAAACCCTAAACCCTAAACCCTAAACGCTAAACCCTGAAGTTGGAAAATTTAAAGCCTCGACTTTAAGACAAGGCCCTCTTGCTCAAGCCCTAAACCCTCGAGGCGGGAGGGCAGCTTGCTGCTGTTCTGCCCGCCGCGAGGGTTTAGGGTTTAGGGTTTAGGGCCCTGCAGCATTTCGTGGGGAAGGCGAGGCCCTTCAGAAGCAAAGCAGCAGCAAAGGGTGCTGCAGCAGCAGTTTGCTGCTGACCTGAAAGCGGGCCGGGTCTGCTTCAGCCATGCGCTGCAGCAGCAGCAGCACGTGCTTCGGCTCTACGTTTCTTTGGGCACCCGGGCGGGCTTGCTGCATTTGCTGCTGTTGCTGCAGCTGCTGCTGCTGCTGCAGCTGCAGCTGCTGCAGCTGCTGCGGCGGCTGCAGCGGGAGCTGCCGCTGCTGCAGAGCCATGCGCTGCTGCTGCGCTGCATGCGGCGGCAGCACTGCAGCAGTGGGCTCAGGCTTGAGGGGCAGCATCGCAATAGGCTGCTGCTGCAGTTGGTGCTGCTGAAGTTGTTGCTGCTGCAGGTGTTGCTGCTGCAGCTGCTGTTGCTGCAGCTGCTGCTGCTGCAGCTGCTGTTGCTGTAGCTGCTGCTGCTGCAGCTGCAGCTGCAGCTGCGGTTGCTGCAGCTGCTGCTGCATACCTGGCTGCATTGTGGGGTCCCATCTGTATCGACAAGCTGCTGTGTCTACAGCCCCTCACGCTGCAGCAGCAGCGGCAGCAGCGGCAGCAGCAGCAGCAGCAGCGGTCAGCTGAGCCTCATGCGTCCTGCTGTACGGTTGAGATAAAGTCGCCCGCAGCACATAGGCTTTGCTGCTGCTGCTGCTGCTTCTCTGCTGCTTCTGTGGCTGCTGCTGCTCTTGCAGCCGCAGGAGCAGCTGTTGCTGCTCACGAAAGCCGCAGTGTGTACACTGTTAGGCTTCTAGCAGCTTCTTCAAGAAATTAAAATACGTAATTGAATAACTAATTAAAAACGAAGAGTGAAAAGGCTAACTTTAAGGCTCGCAGCCAGCAGCCGATGCTGCTGCGCTGCCGCGCCTGGGGCTTCGGCTGCTCTTTTCCAGGGGCTTTTAGGCTCTGAAAAGTTTCTAAAGCACGAAATTACACATAATCGAATAAATAAATTAAAACGTAACATTTAATTGTGCTTTTGTTCCATTTATTAAATGCCAAGGACCCCTGGAAGCCAACAGCGCAGCCGTCCCGCGAGCCAGCCAGACACTTGAGGTGTATGTACACCCCAGGGGCCGCAGCAGCAGCTCCTCTAGCAGCAGCTGCATAAAGCTGCTGCAGGCAGCTGGCTGGTTAGCTGAACAGCTAGCTAGGAAGCTGCAGCAAGGCGAGCAGCAGCAGCAGGCTGCGCTGCTGCAACAGGTGCAGCTGCTGCAGCAGCGCAGCCTGCTGCTGCAGCTGCTGCAGCATCAAGAGCTGCAGTGACACGCAGCTAGCTAGCTGTCTGGCTAGCTGTCTTCGGCTGTGTGCTCCTACTTAGCTGCGCAGCTACCCATGTGGCTAGGTAGCTAGCTGCAGCTACTGCAGCTACTGCAGCTGCTGCAGCTAGTACAGCTATTACAGCTGCCTCAGCTGCTGGAGCTACTGCACCTCCTGTAGCTACTGCAGCTGCTGCAGCTACTGCAGTTGCTGTAGCTACTGCAGCTGCTGCAGCTGCTGCAGTTACTGCAGCTGCTGCAGCTACTGCAGCTGCTGCAGCTAGCGACGTGACTGTCCAGCGAAGCATTTGGTGTAGCTTGAGCGCCTAAAAACGAATACAGCGATGCCACTGCAGCAAGCTGTGCTGCTGCTGCTGCTGCACTGTGCTGCTGCTGCAGCTACTGCACTTTGCTGCTGCTGCTCCTGCTGCAGTGTCTTGCTGCTAATTCACTCCCCTGCCGCTACTGGTGCTGCATGGCCTCTGCTGCTGCACCTTCCCGCTGCTGATACCGTTGCTGTTGCTGCTGCCACTGTTGCTGTTGCTGCTGCTGCTTGTTCCTGTCTCACCAGCACCTAGTTTTTGCCTCGGTTGTTTACACAGATTCATTTGCTGCCAAGCAGCTGCAGCAGCAGCAGCAGCAGCAGCAGCAGCACCAAACAACTAACCAAACAGAAGAGTAAATTCTAAAGGCCGCCCTAAGAACGAAGGGAATGGCCGCTGCAGCATACTCTCATGCTGCTGCTGCTACACTGTGCTGCTGCTGCTGCTATGCAGCAGCAGCAGCACCTCTTCCTGAGGCCTCCGCAGCTCTCTGGGCTTCCTGCTTCTCCACTAAGCTAACTCTAAGGTTAATTGGCATTTCTGTATAGGGGCAGCTGCAGCAGCAGCTGCTGCTGCTGCAGCTGCAGTAGCCGCGGCACCACAGCTGCTGTTGCTGCACCTGCTGCGGGGGCTGCTGCTGCAGTCCGCTGTAGCTGTGGCTGCTGCACCAATTGCTGCTGCAGCTATAGTTGTCATTGCTGCATTCACGATTGTTGTTGCTTTTTCTGCTGCTGCTGCGGCTGCTGCTGCTGTCGCTGCTGTTGCTACTGCCGCCGCCGCCGCTGCTGCTGCTGCTGCCACTGCTGCCGCTGCTGCTGTTGCTGCTGTTGTTGCTGCTGCTGCTCCTGGTTTGGGCCAGCGTGTGTGTGCGCCGCACGCTAGACCATGCAGCAGCAGCTGCTGCAAGTCTACTCTAAAGCAGCAAAAATGCACGGTTGCAGCAGCAGCAGCAGCACCTCATTGTCTACACATCGTGGGCAGGGGCAAAAAGTACAATCAGTTGCCAGCCATAAAGTGTGCAGCAGCAGCAGCTGCTGCTGCTGCTGCAGCTGCAGCAAGGAAAACGCAGCAAAGGCGCCTCAGCAGCTCGGCTGCATCATGGGGCTTGTTTGTTGAGGACAAATGACAGCAAAGCGTTGCTGTCTTTGCTGCTGCTGCTGCTGCTCTTCTTCCTCCTGCTGCTTCTGCTCCTCTTCTTCCTCCTGCTGCTGTTCTCCCGGCGTGGTGTGTCTCGCCTTCGGCACTGCTGAGAGAACCTTCTGCTGCTGCTGCTGCTGCTCCTGCTGCTGCTCCTGCTGCTCCTGCTGCTGCATTCGCTGCTGCACCCTAATAGTGTTGGCCCTGACATCTCTAAGAAGCTCTTCCAGAGCTGTAGATACCTCTCTGAATACTGTGCGGCCGACGCCAGAGCCCTGCTGCTGCAGCTGCTGCTGCTGCTGCTGCTTCGGTGGGTGCTGCAGCTGCGCTGCTAGCAGGGGCTGTGACTGCTGCCGTCCCGCTTGCTGCAGCAACTGCTGCTGACGGTGCGGCAGTGGCAGCTGCGGCAATCGCGGTGCTGCCTTCTTAAGGGGCGGGCTGATGGCATTTGCAATCACTCCGCTGCTGCTGCTGCTGCTGCTGCTGCTGCTGCTGCGGCTGCAGCCTCTATGTGCCTTGCTGCTGCAGTGGTCTGGCGTTTCCGTCCTTCGCTTCACTTCCGCACCCTCTCTGCTGCAGAAACCTCCCTGCATGTCGCGTGAGGTGACCTCTCCGCTGCTGCTGCTGCTGCTGTTCTTGCCGCTGCTGCTGTTGGTGCTGCTGCTGCTGCTGCAGCTGGTGCTGCTCCTGGCGCACGGCAGCGAGGCGCAGCACCGCGGGGCGTTTACTACCGCTCGCCGGGGCCTACAAACCCCAGCACTCATGTCTTTGTCAAATAAGAAAGAATTTGAAAATTTTATTTTTTGTCTTTTTTCAATTGGCTGCTTCTGGGGAGGAGGCGAGACAGCCAGCAGCAGCGGGGAGGGGCCCTCCAAGCTGCTGCAGCGGGAAAGCCCGTTTGCGGCTCCTCCTCCAAAGTCCTCCTCTTGCTGCTGCTGCTGCTTCTGCTGCTGCTGCGGCGGGGCCTGGGACTGCAGCAGCTGCTGCAGCAAGAGGGAAGCCTCCCCGTGCTGCAGCTGCCACGTATGTACCGCCTCGCCCGACAGCAGCAAAGAGCAATTAAGCGAAAAAGAACTCTTCAGCAGCTCTCTGCCATCGACTACGGAGCCATCGCTAGCAGCATACACCACGCTGCTGCTACTGCTACTGCTGCTGCAGCAGCAGCTGCTGCTGCTGCTGAGGCTACTGCTGCTGCAGCAGCTGCTGCTGCTGCTGCCGATGCGGCCGCTGCTGCTGCTGCTGATGCTGCTACTGCGACTGATACGACCGCTGCTGATGCCGCTGCTGCTGCTGATGCTGCTTCTGCAGCTGATGCTGCTGCTGCTGCTGATGTTGCTGCTCATGGGCGAAGGAGCAGCAGCCGAGTGCTGCTGCTCCTCCCGGACGTTTCGCCACTTGGCGACATTCTGGGGCGGCTGAAATCTGTGAAGCAAACAAACAAACAAACAAACAAATAAATAAATGAATAAATAAATAAATAAGATTAAATAAATAAAATTAAATAATGAATACATAAATAAATCAATGGAGTATGAGACTGGTCTATCTCGTGGTCTGTTTTCTTTAATTTCAAGTTGAAGGGAAAGAGGGAAGGCGGTAGTGCAGCAGTGGAAAAAGAGGACAAAGAGAAAGAGACAGCAGCAACAGCAGCAGCAACGGCAGCAGCAGCAGCAGCAGCGGTGAAGGTCTAAGGCAACTCCCGACAAAAGGAGTTGAGGGAAGAAGCCAATAGAAGCATGGAGTTGAACAAGTCCACTTAAATTAATGAATTAAAATAAATCCATTTGATTAAATCCACTTAATTAAATCCATCTAATCAAATCAGTTTAGTCCATTCAAACAACTCTAGAAAGAAATGCATTGTAAATGGATCAAATTGATGAAACCAAACCAGCTGGATGAAAAGAATTTAAGTGTTTAAATCCACTTAAGATATCCATTTAATAAAATTCATTTAACACCAACACTTAAAGAAATGAAACAAAAGATCAGTTGAATGCATTTAAAGGAAAGATATGCATTTAAGACCAGTAAGAAATTCAAATTTGTTGAATTAAGACAATTTGAATTGCAAACTTGATCTACGGATGCAACAATTCAAATTTCGCGTTAATTAATAATTTTATTTATTTTTAAAAGCAAAATTGGAATTTAAAAAGGAAATAAACCGCTGAAATCCGCGGAATTCAGAAAGTTCAAGAAAGGTTCTGTTGCGCTGACTAGAAAAAGTCCAGATATGGAAACTTGAACATTTTCTGCTTTCTGCCGCCATTTTTTGCTTCCAAATTACCCGATTGTCTCAATTTTAATTCATTTGATTGAATTAATTCAAATGTAACAGAAATAATTCAAAATATTTCGCAGAATTTCAGGAGAATATAGTCCAACGGCCCCGCACTTGAAGAAATGCATGTAAGCAACTTTTCGAGCTTCGGGCGCCCAAGTCCAACAGCACAGCCGAAACAGAATTAATTAACTAAACAATATAAATTCTTTTTAATTAAGAGGAATTTTTCAATAAATCCACCCCAATACACCATTTGAATCGACCTGGCCAAACAAAACAACAAAACAACCCAACAAATTGATTTATTTCAAACAAAAAACCAAAATAAAGTAAAATAAAATAAAATAAAATTAAATAAAGCAAAATAAATTCACTTACGGCTCCAGCTTGTCTTCGGGCACAGGCGGGCCCTCGTCAACTAAGAAAGAAGAAACTTTGCAACGCAGTGTCGCAGAACCTGGAAGCAGACACACGCATGCACCCTGGCTAGCTAGCTAGCTAGCTAGTTAGGTGGTAAGCTAGCTGGCCAGCTAGCTGGTTAGCTAGCTATCTAGGCAGCCAGCTGTCTAACTGGATAGCCAGCTGGCTAGGCAGCTGGCTAGCTAGCTAGCCAGCTAGATAGCTGGGCAGCTACCTATCTGGCTCGCTGGTTGGATGACTAGCTAGCCGTCGCATTAGGCAGATAGCTAGCTAGCCAGAAAGACGAACAGCTAGCAAGAGAGTTACTGAACGAGCCAGTCAACTACCCAGTGCACTAGGTGGCTAGCTACCTAGCTAGATATTCGGACAGCACGGAGAGCTAGCTAGATGGGCAGCTAGCTAGCTAGCTAACTAGCTAACTGGACAGTCGGCTTTGGGGCACGTGCCGCCTGCAGAAGGGAAAAGTTAAAGATGGTGTGTGTACACTGCAAGCTGCAGCAGCAACAGCAGCGGCAGCAGAAGTAGCAGCAGCAGCAGCGTTTCAGCTTACAGCTTCCAGAAAATGCTGCAGAGACGGAAAGAGGATAAGTGGCCCAGTCAAGGCTCTGCAGCAGAAGCAGCAAAATGAAAACAAAATAGCAGCAGATGAGGCGCCAGCTCAGTGTATGGGCCACCCTGCTGCAGCAGCAAAAGCTTTCGCTGCTGCGACAGCAGCAGGAGCAGCAGCAGCAGGAGCGCTTGTGTGGATGGTGCAGCAGCAGCAGCAGCAGCAGCGGTACTTCGGCTGCTTCTTCTGCAACAGCAACCGGAGCACTTTGGGCCCGATCCTTAGCTGCTGCAGCCACTGCTGCTGCCGCTGCCGCCCCTGCTGCTGCTTCTGCTGCTAATGTTGCTATTCCTGCTGCCGCTACTACTCCCGCTGCGGCTGCTACTCGCGCTGCTGCTGCAACCCCTGCTGCCGCTGCTACTCCTTCTGCTGCTACTCCCACTGCTGCTGCTCCTGCTGCCGCTACTCCTACTGTTGCTAGTCCTGTTGCTGCAACTCCTGCTACCACTCCGACTCGTGCTACTGCTGCTGCTGCTGCTCCCCCTACTGCTGCTGCTGCTGCTGCTGCTGCTTACGTTGGGCTTCTTGAGGTTGGCTAGGGGAAAGACGACGCAGCCCAAGTCCTTGAGACGCCAAGTGCATTTCTTTCCTGCTGCTGTCTTCTCCTCCACTTCCTGGGTAAGCACCACTGTCAGCCGCAGCGCAGCAGCTTCTTGCTGCAGCGGCAGCACGAACTGCAGCAGCAGCAGCAGCAGCAGCAGCAACAGACGCAGACGCAGATTTGCACGGAAGGCGGGGGCGGCGAGACGCAGCAGGGAAACGAAAGCCCAAGAAGCCTCCTCTTCACTTATTGCGACCATTATTATTTATTTATTTATTTTATTTATTTATTTTATTTTATTTTATTCATTTATTTGTTTATTTATATTTGGACTTGCTGTGTGGGTCAAAGGCAAGTAAACGTCGTCGCGGTTGGGGCGATGCTCTGCGTTCAAAGACTCGGGGGGAGAGCGGTTGCGGGTGTGGTTTAGCAGCTGCAGCAGCAAACTCTAAACCCTAAACCCTAAACCCTAAACCCTAAACCCCAGGCGCTAAACCCTAAACCCTAGGCCCTAAACCCTGAAGGCTTCGCGCTGCAGACTCAGAGCCAGGCGCTGCGATCAAGAGTTGCTGCTGCAGGGCTTACAGCGCCGCATATAACTGCGGCGTCCGCTAAACCCTAAACTCTAAACCCTAAACCCCAAACCCTACACCCTAAACCCTAAACCCTGAAGCCTCACGTCAGAAAGGTTGTCATTGAGGTATCCGCAGAGCAAGAAAACCTGAGGCCTTTCTCCTTCTATTTTAAGTTTGCCCCTGCAGCCACGCACAGACACACACAACCCTAAACCCCAAACCCTAAACCCTAAACCCTAAACCCTAAACCCCAAACCCTAAACCCTAAGCCCTAAACCCTAAACCCGTAATCAACGAGTAAATAGAGGTGAGCGGCGGTGGCTGCTGTGATAAAATGTAACCCCCCTGTGTCTATTAGCTGGCTGCTGCTGCTGTTGGCGCAGCAGCAGCTGCAAAGGCAGCAGCAGTGGCAGCAGCAATCGCAGCAGCGAGAACAGGAGAAGCAGCAGCAACACCGGCGACAGCAAGGCCGGAAGGAGCCTCCAAAATCCACATGAGCAGCAGCAGCAGCAGCGACAGCAGCAGCAGCAGCAGAGTATGGCTCACGTGAGTCCAATAACATCAAGTTCAACTTTTCCCGCAACGGGCCCTTCTGTTTCTGCTGCTGCTGCTGCTGCTGCTTTTTGCTGCTGAAGACTGAGTTTGGAGCGCAAGCGCTGCACCGACTGCTGCCGCTGCTGCTGCTGCAGCTGCTGCAGCTGCTCCTTTGACCCCTTCCTGCTCATGGGCTCAGCAGCATCTGCTGCTGCTTCGTTTCTGTGGCTGCTGCCGTCTCTTTTGAGCTCCCCCTTGCTGCTGCTGCTGCTGCTCTCTTTACGCGAGGCTGAAGACCTCAGGCTTCTCGACTTCTGCCTGTGGGCTTCTTTTTCTTTCTTTGAAAGGGATTTGGCTGGCTGCTGCTTTGCTGCTGCTGCTTCTGCGGGTGCTGCTGCTGCTGCAGGTGCTGCTGCTGCTGCAGGTGCTGCTGCTGCTGCAGGTGCTGCTGCTGCTGCTGCTGCTGCAGTCACCCGCGGGGTCACTTCTGTGGGAGTCAGCGAAGGCGCTTCCTTGGGAGGCGTGGGGTCTGCGGAGGCCAGCATGGTGCAGCTGCTGTTGCTGCTGCTGCTGCTGTTGCTGCTGCTGCTGCTGCTCTGCGGCTCACACTCTGTGCTCTGCTGCTCCGGCTCAGCAAAAGACTCCGCAGCAGCCTCGTTGCCGTCTCTCCCGTCAGCCCAACTAATGGACCTTTGCTGCTGCTGCTGCTGCTGCTGTTGGTGCTGCTCTGGTTTGACCGCGTGTTTTTGAGGCACTCTCGCTCGGCGCTGCTGTTTCTGCCTCGCAGGGCGCTTCTTGCTGCTGCTGCTTCTGCTGCGAGCAGCAGCAGCAGCAGCAACAACACGGGGGCTGTCATAAACTATTTCGTACTCCGGCGCAGGCTTGCAGCAGCTGCACAGCAGCAAATCCAGCAGCGGCAGCTCATCTGCTGCTGCTAGCCGCCTGAAGTGTCCAGACCGCAGCCGCCGCATGCGGGGCGACTCTAGGCGGTGGCTCGCCATCGCCCCTTTGCTGTTGCTGCTGCTGCTGCTGCTGCTCGTGCTGCTGCTGCTGCTGCTGGGTTTTGCTGCTGCGCGACTTGAGAGCGACGGGCTACTCCAACGCCCGGCCTGCCCAGACCAGAGAGACACGCAGACAGCAGCTCATGAATAAGGGTTCAGGGTTTAGGGTTTAGGGTTTAGGGTTTGGGGTTGCGGCTCGCTCGCGAAGGGACACGCTGCTGTCAAGGGCTGTTGGGGGCTGAAGCTTAGCTTGAGGGTCGAGGGTTTAGGGTTTAGGGTTTGGAACTAGGGGTTGGGACCCAGGGAAAGGGTTTAGATGTCGGGTAGTTAGGGTTAAGAAATTAGGGTTTTGAAGCGTGGGAAGCCCCAGCAGCAGCCCTGGGGGCCGAAGCTTGAGGGTTTAGGGTTTAGGGTTTGCGTCTGAGCGTTTATAAGCTAGGGTTTAGGGTTTAGGGTTCGGGGGAGGGAGTGTTACACTGAAAGGCTGAAGCACCCTGCTGGTCGAGTCCCCAGAAGGCCGTTGGTGCTGCTGCTGCGGTCGTTTCGCTGCATTTGTCGACTAGAAGCAATTTAAATGCAATTTAAATGCAATTTAAATGCCATTTTCCGTTAAATGAGCTGTCTGTACACCTGAAATAGTGCAAAAACAGAAAAATAGGGGGAAGTACACAGAGCGAAGCCTGCGCAGGCGACCGCAGGCCGAGTCCGCCGCAGCTGACTGCCGCAACAGTCTGAAGAAAGACTTCTTAGTAATTACACCTTAACCATTCCACTTTAAAAGGGAAATAAAAGAGTTTTAAAGTCAAAATGAAGAAGAACTTCCCCGAGTCTGCTCCGGGCGGCGCTGCAGCGTCAGGTGTACGTACATTGCAGCGAGGCCCCACCGGTCGCAGCGAGCCGAGCACCTGGAGACCGCACGATCAGTTCCTTTTTTTGCCACTTTTTTGTTTTAAATTCATTTCTTTTCCAGGATTATGAGGAATTAAACCAAATGCGCGTCTCCGAAGGTCTTTTTTAGCCCCTCTTCAAGCCGAGCCCCGGCCTGGGGTGTCTCGAGGCTGCAGCAACACCCAATGCAGCTGTACATACACCCCAGCTGCTGCTGCTGCTCTGGAAAAGAAATACAAAAGAGCCTTTTCAAGTGTACATACAGCTCCGAAACTGCCTTTTAGCAGGCTGTCTGCGCAGCCCGGAGGACCATTTCCCTCTTAACCCCATTAATCAAAAAAGAAAAAATAAAGCTGGAAAAACTTTACAAAGATCTCATAAATTATCTGCTGCTGCTGCTGCGCTGCATGTACTTCTTACTGTGCAGCAGCAGCAGAAAGCCCCAAAACCCATTTTGAAGAAAACCCGCAAAAGGCTCTTCTGGCCTACCGGGTGTATGTACAGAGTTGTTCGACTTTGTTTGCATTTATTAGTTCTATAAACTTACAAATAATTAAATATTTATATATATATAAATATATACATATATAAGTGCATATCTATGTATATAAATAGTTATAATATGCATATATATAATATTTAGTATATAATCAATTGGATAGATAAACAGATTGAAATATTTATAAATAGTTATTTATTTAAAAGTCGCTAAAGATTTATAATTATTTGAAATTGCACATAAAGACTTTTACGGCCAAACAGCTTAAGCCTGCAGCCAGGTGTACATACAGCGCAGCCCACAATCTGAGAATTCTTTAAAAGCTTCTAGACCATTTGAATCTAAATAAATATTGGCAAATTAAATGCATGCATGCATGCAAACAAATACAATTCTTCGCATGCATGCATGCATGCATGCAGAGGACATCTTGGCAAGTTAAATGCATGCATGCAAACAAGCGCACTTCTTTGCATGCATGCATGCAAAGGACAAAACCACTTGTGCAAATCCCAATAAATAGGCAAACGAGTGAATAAATAATAAATAATAAATAAAATGGTAAACAAACAAAACAAATAGACAAGATAAAGAAATAAATGAAAAATAAATAATGATTCGATAAATATTAGCCAATTTAAACTCTCCAGTCATTTAACACTATTTAATGAATTAATACTTAACTGTTATAAAATCATCTAATCTTTTAAGACTATTTAATTGGCTAATTCTGATCAAATTGTTTAATCTTTTAAAATTATTCGATAAACTAAAACTACTAAATCCGCTCAGTCCAGTAAAAGGATATATTATTTTAAAAGTAATAAATGGACTGAATTCGTTTAATCTAATTAAAGTATCTGATATTTTAAATTTATTTAATTCATTAAAAATATTAAATTCGTTAAATTTAGCAAAAGTGTTTAATCTTTAAAAGATAATTAGACCTATTAAATCCATTAAAACTGTTAAATCTATTAGTCAAATAGGCCCAATATATCTATTAAACTTAATAGACCTGAAATGGCTATTAAGTCTACTATTAAGTCTATTAAGAAGTTTATTAAATCTATTAGAGACAAAAGAGCCATTAAGTCTAATAGGCCTAATAGACTTGATAGATTTAATAAGTTTAACAGATTTAAAAGATTTAAAAGATTAATTATATTTAAGAGGTTTAGTAGATCTTTTAAGTCTAAATGAGAAATTAATTCTATTAAGTCTATTAAATCTATTAAGTCTATTAAGTGTATTATACTTAATAGACTTAATAGATCTATTAAATTTATTAAATCTATAAAGTCTTTTAGGTCTATTAGGTCTAATAGACTTAATAGATTTAAGAGATCTTTTAAGTCTATTAAAGCTATTAACTCTTTTTCATTTAATAAGTCCAATAGACTTAATAAATCTATTAGATCATTTAACTCCAACAGAACTATTCGCTCTAATAGATCTAACAAACTTAATAAGTCTATAAAATCTAATAAGTTTAGTAGATCTATTAATTCTATTAAGTCTAAAAGACTTAATAAATCTGTTGGATCTTTCAAATCTATCAGACTTATTAAATCTAATAAATCTTCCAACGTCTATTAAGTCTATTAAAACCATAAAACATATTTTTAGATCTAAATTTAATAGATTTAATAGATTTAATGGAATTAATGGAATTAATGGAATTAATAGATTTAATGGATTTAATAGATTTAATAGGCATTTTATATTAAATAAACTTAATATGCTTTTTAGATTTGATAGATCTAATAGATTTAATAGACTTATATAAACATCCTACACTAAATAAACTCAATATACTTTCTAGATTAGATCTATTGAATAGATTTAATACATTTAGTAGATCAAATCTGTTAAATATATTTAATAGATTAAATCTTTTAAATAGATTTAATAGATTAAATATATTCGATAGATTAACTAGATATAATAGATTTAGTAGATTAAATTTGTTGAATAGATTTAATAGATTCAATAGATTCAATAGATTAAATAGATTTAATAGATTCAGTAGATTAAGTAGATTTAATGGAAATAATAGATTTAATAGACTTAATGGAAATAATAGATTTAATAGACTTAAGAGGTTATATAGATCTAATAGATTAAATAGATTAAATCTACTAAATAGATTTAGTAGATTTAATAGACTTAATAGATTAAATGGATTTAATATATAAACTGGATTCAATCTACTAAATAGGTTTAATAGATTCAATATATTTAATAGATTTAATGGAAATAATAGATTTAATAGATTTAATAGATTCAATGGATTAAATCCATCAAATAGATTTAATAGGTTAAATATATTTAATAGATTTAATAGGAATAATAGATTTAATAGATTAAATCGATTTAATAGACTTAATAAATTAAATCTACAAATAGACTTAATAGATTTAATATTATAAATAGATCTATTAAATGTGGTGGACATAATGCGCACATGCATGCGGCCAAAGAGCCCCACAAAATAAATAAATTTGAATATCCATTTGTATTAATTTACTTGTATTGATATGTTTATATTTATTTATTTAAATTTATTTATTCACATTTATTTGTATTTATTTTTTAATATTTATTTATTTTTATTTATTTATATTTATTTATATTTATTAATGTCCAAAGAAAGCTGCATCTTTGCCTTTTTAAAGGGTAATTTGGAGTGTACAGACACCTAAAGATCTAATTATGCATTCCAGACAAAAGCAGATAAAACAAAATAAAGAAAATTGAAATTTTTGCATTAATGGCATTATAAATATGTTAAAATGCATGCAGCGCAAATCCCAGAAGCAAACAGCGCTGCTGCTGCTTCAGCTGCTGCTGCTGCAGCTTCAGCTGCTGCTGCTGCAGCTTCAGCTGCTGCTGCTGCTGCTGCTATAGCTGCGGCTGCAGCTTCAGCTGCTTCCAGCCCTCTTTTTGAAGTATCTCTATTTTTTGCTTTTTGATTATTTTTAAACAAACAAAAGTAATCAGCAAACAAATAGCTGTCTTTACACCTCAAAACAAAACGAACTGCCTTCAAACATGGCTGCTGTGCTGCTGCTGCTGCTGCTGCTGCCGCACCTGCAGCTGTTGCTGCCGCACCTGCAGCTTCTGCTGCTGCAGAAGCTGCTGCTAAAACTGCTTCAGAAGCAAAGGCAAAAAGCAGCAACGCACAAAATAAGCCACGCCATAGCAGCTGCAGCAGCAGCAGACGCACCAGCAGGTGTAGCAGCAGCACGAGAAGCAGATGCAGCGGCTGTGGCAGCAGCAGCAGCAGCAAGTGCCACCAGCAGCCAGCCACACAGAGTAAAAATCAAGTGTACCGTCGGTGCAGCAGCAGCAGCAGCAGATACGCTGCTGCTGCCGGCCTCCGCTGCTCTTAAAACAACTCAAAGGAAGCAAAGGCAAATATTGCCAAGTATTCTTTCAAACGAACTGCCCCGGCTGTTGCGGCCCTTCTGTAGTTATTGCTGCTGCTGCTGCTGCTGCTGCTACTGCTGCTGCTGCTGCTGCTG